GACACTTAGAGGAAAGATGTAGAAAAATTGCCTAGATTAAAGAGAACTGTAGAGATTAAGCTAGAAAAGAGCAAAAAAGAGAACTCAGTGGCTGAAACAAAGTAATTTGGGGTGAGCGGAACAGAGTTATCTAATGGCAATTCAGGAATAAATGATATAAGCTGTATAATATCTTTCCTACAATATCTTCAGTAAAATCTATACTGTTCATTTTTAGTTTTTTACCTTTTTTTTCCATGAGAATGAGAAAGGCAATGAAGCACCAAGTTCTCCTTCAAGGTTAGCCTAAAGTAATTACAAAGAAGACAGGGAAGCTAGCCAAAATCTGTATTCCACAAGAAAAATCTGAATTTCTCCTTTACACTGAACTTAAGCAGAACTATTTGGATAGAAGACAGCCCTCTTGCAGAGATCCTAAAAACATGAAAATCCTCTTTAAAACAGACCTAAGATATTTCAGAACATAAAATTCAAATGTCATACTGAACACCTTCTGTTTAAGATTGCTAAGATCTTTGTAAGATAACAAAGATCTGAAGATCTCTAATGAGTATTTGGAAATAACACTGTGTCTTCTAAACATTTTATAAATGTTTTAATAAACATTGGTATTAAGATTCTTTCAGGATGTATATTTCCACAGGTTTTCTTTGAGCTGTTATAGAGAGAAATTACCTTGGTTGAAAATCTTCAAATATTTAGATAAGTATATTTATCTTCTTTGAGTATTTTCATTTTACTTTGTAAGTATGCAAATCAGGTTGTCATGTTGTTGTTGTTGTTAGGTGCCATCGAGTCGTGTCTGACTCATAGTGACCCTATGCACAGCAGAACAAAATACTGCCAAATTCCATGCCAGTTCCCATGATCCTTGCTATACTTGAGCCCATCATCGCGGCCACCCTGTCAATCCATCTCTTTGAAGGCCTTCCCCTCTTTCGTCAATCCTCCACCACCAAGCATGACATCCTTCTCTAGGGAATGGTCCCTTTTGACAACATGACCAATGTAGATGAAACAAAGTCTAGCCATTCTTGTTTCCAAGGAGCATTCTGGCTACACTTCCTCCAAGACAGATCTGTTAGTTCTTTTAGAATCCATGGTACTTTCGGTATTCTTTGCCACCACCACAACTCAAAAGCATCAACTCTTCTTTGGTCTTTCTTACTCATTGTCCAGCTCTTACATGCATATAAGGCGACTGAAAATATCATGCTTGTGTCAGGTGCACCTTAGTCTTCAAGAAGACATCCTTGCTTCTCAGTACTTGAAAGAGTTCCTTCGCGGCCAACTTGCCCAGTGCTATATGTCGTCTAATGTCCTGACTGCTCCTTCCATTGACATTGATTGTAGAACCAAGCAATGTGATTTCTCTGACAACCTCAATCTTTTCTCCATTTATCGTGATGCTACTTATTGGTCCAGTTGTGAGGATTTTTGTTTTCTTTCTATTGTTGTTGTTATGTGCTGTCTTTATATTGAAATGTAATCCATAGTGCAGACTGTATTCTTCGATCTTGATCAGTAAGTGCCTCAAGTCATCCTCACT